ACTTTCTAAGGGAGGAAAGAACATGACATCAAAGAAAGAAGTGCTGACCCCACTTTTCTGGCATGGGCTTTTATTGGAGTTATAAGTGGTCTGGGCTTTTATTGGAGTTATAAAGGGTAAAAGATGGTTAATGCTGCAAAATGATAATGAAGGTAGCTGTATTTGCTTCCTTTTTTCTGCTAGGCTGGCTTTCTTGGTCTCCACAGAATGTGGTCTGGTGGATATGGGGGAAGACTGTGCCCTTTCTGTATGCTCAGTTCTCTTCTAGAGCTGCTAAAACAAATTCTTAAAGACAAGAAGTTAGGTCACAAGTGGTAAAGCAAACAATGAGCAGTTATATGCAGTGATTTCTTCCTCTTTTTTTCTTCCCTGTTATATGGTTTGCCAGCAAGGCATTCAGTTATATCTGGCATTTGCTTCAAAATAATCAGAAGGGATTCTGAGACTGTAGATGAAACAGATTGGTACTTTATTGACAATTACCAAAGGTTGGGAATGCGTGTATGATTTTCTTTCTTTCTTTCTTTTTTTTTTTTTTTTAGAGACAGAGTCTCACTTTGTCGCCTTTAATAGAATGCTATAACATGACAGCTCACAGCAACCTCCAGCTCTTGGGCTTAGGCGATTCTCTTGGCCTAAGGCGCCACCCCAATTTTGTTTTTATAGATGTAAATATTGATAAATCCTCCTCTGATAAATTAGATGATGTTGAAAGGAATATAGTTATAGCAATGTCAATTTTATATGCCAAAAATGGTGAGGTGATTTCTCAACAGAAATGGTTTTCTTGGCAGCTGACAACCTGGTCAGTGACAGATGAAATGAGGCCCAAATCAAAACACAAGAGACTAGACATAGCAAACATATTGGGAAGTTTATTTTACACCTTATAAGCGGGCTGAAATCTAGAGATGTCAGCAGCATTAGGGAAGGAGGCAGTTCTTATTTAGAATAGGCTGAAGAGCAGCTGGGTTTACACACAAGTCTTTCTTTCTTTTTACACAAATCTTTCTTATCAGGGTGCCAAGGACATGCAGCTCATTATTGAGACTCTCTGGGCCAGCTCTTCTTATCAGGGTGTCAGAGGCTTGTGTTGTAAGTATATTTCTTATGGGTTTGTAACTGGGTAGGTACAAGGACATGAGTCTCTCTTATCTGAATTAGGACTACCTGTAACAGTGTCTTACAAAATGGGTTTTTCAGATCTAAAATGGAGTAAGCTTGGCCAACCTAACAATCAGGCCCTCTTCTCATTTTATTGGAGAGAAAGAATAAGAAACAACTTGAATCACAAAGGGATTATTCACATGCTCAATATTGGGAGCAGTATTTCAAAGTATTTCTTTTGTGTAGTACCCCTGAGGTTTTGATATCTCACGGTACTGTACCACCTTAAGATTTAGGGGTAAGGCTCGGTGCCTGTGGCTCAAGTGGCTAAGGCGCCAGCCACATACAGCTGAGCTGGCAGGTTCAAATCCAGCCTGGGCCCGCCAAAACAATGACAGCTGCAACCAAAAAATGGCCAGGCGTTGTGGCAGGCGCCTGTAGTCCCAGTTACTTGGGAAGCTGAGGCAAGAGACTCACTTGAACCCAGGAGTTGGAGGCTGCTGTGAGCTGTGATGCCACGGCACTCTACCCAGGGTGACAGCTTGAGGCTCTGTCTGAAAAAAAAAAAAAAAAAGAAGAGAGAGAGAGAGAGAGGGAGGAAAGAAAAAACTCAAATGAAAATCTAGAAATGATTCTCTCACAACTATCTCCACACACTGTATGGAAAGATTTGTGTGTTCCGTACCCTTTTATACCACTCAGGGTCCTCATATCTTTTGTGTGGAAACTGCTGAGGTCACCTGTAGCCATTCTTCCATTAAATTTTGCAAAGGGGGCTCGGCGCCTATAGCTCAACCGGCTAAGGCGCCAGCCATGTACACCTAAGGTGGCGGGTTCGAATCCCCAGCCCGGACCCGCCAAACAACAATGACGGCTGCAACCAAAAAATAGCCAGACGTTGTGGCGGGCGCCTGTGGTCCCAGCTACTTGGGAGGCGGAGGCAGGAGACTCGCTTGAGCCCAGGAGTTGGAGGTTGCTGTGAGCTGTAATGCCATGGCACTCTACCCAGGGGGACAGCTTGAGGCTCTGTCTCAAAAAAAAAAAAAAATTTTTTTTTGCAAAGGGTTCCTTTTTTTTTTTTTGGAGACAGAGTCTCACTCTGTTGCCCTGGGTAGAGTACTATGGGTCATAGTTCACAGCAACCTCCAACTCTTTGGGTTCAAGTGATCCTCTTGCCTCAGCCTCCCAAGTAACAGGGACTTCGGGTGCCTGCCATGACACCGGGATAATTTTTCTATCTTTTGTAGCGATAGGGTCTCACTCTTGCTCAGGCTGGTCTTGAACTCCTGAGATAGGGTAATCTATCCACCTTGGCCTCCCAGAGTGCTAGGATTACAGGCTTGAGCCACTGTCCTCAGCCTTAAGGGTTACTTTTTTACTTTATTATTATTTTTTTAAATTTAAAAACTGTGTGGAAGAGTGGCGCCTGTGCCTCAAAGGGGTGGTGCACGGGCCCCAGTGGCGGGTTCAAACCCAGCCCTGGCCAAAAACTGCCAAAAAAACCAAACCAAACAAACTATGTGGAAATTTAAATGTCATTTTTTGCACCTTGGTTGACTACCTCAAGCATCCCCTGGGTGGCTCATAGCACTGCAGAGACGCCAGACTCAGAACAATTATGAAGAGCATGGCTTTGGAGAACTTACTAGGAGTTAATGGGAGAGGTTCTGGGGCAAACACTAGTGGCAACTGCAGATTGACTTGTTAGCCCCAGAGTAACAGAGTTGATTGTATTGTTGCAGGAAGACAAGGCCCAACCGAGAGAAAGAGCACCCAAACACCATGTTTTAAGAGGAAGGGCTTTATTTAGTGGCCTGGAGCTTACGCCATAGAAGATTTCCAAATGGCCACGCTCCCCGACTGGCTTGGTCTTTCCCTTTTTATTGACAGTCAAAAAGTTCCACCCCACAGGTACCCTTTTCATTGGCCAGTTTGAATCAAGCCAGAGATGCTATTCCAGCCCTTACAGAACTACAGGATTTCACAGAACTTGGAAATTTCCTAGTTCCAGGAAGTCAAGTTACAAATTCCCAAGAGCTGAATCACTATGGAGAGGACCCTGCAGGTGCATCCTTGTGGTCTCCTTGAGAAGACCTGTTCTTCCAGATCTCAACCTTCTCGGGAATCCTCTCTCATTATTGATGGTGCTAGAAGCCCAAGAGCTGTTCCCTGAAGACTGTCAGTAGAACTTCTACCAACAAAAAACCCTCCCACTTTGAGGACCCTTACTCTACTTTCTCCTTCCCTTCTCTCCTTGCACTGCCTTCTCTATCTCTATTCTTGTGCTGGCGGAACTAGTGAGGAGTAAAGAATTGCGATGAGAAGAAGAACAAATGCCCAGTTTGGGAGGTGAGCGGTGGATTGAGTCTATTAGCTCACTATCGCTATTCCAAGTAATTGCTTAAGTTCTCCCAGGGTTCTAGAAGTACTGGAAATGGGCCACACATACACCCACCCCTCTCAAGCCACCCTCAGTTTTACTAGTAACTTGTGCAGTGTCTTCTTGCCTCAGGGCCTTTGCTTTGGTTGTTCCCTCTGCCTGGAACAAGCCCCCTCCCCTCACAGACCATCATGGGAACCAGTTATTTAAAAATTTGTGTCCTCAGTCCAAAAGTCTGTTGCACTCTCGGAGCTCGGGGGTAAGTAATAAATATTGGGTGCTGTAAGGGATAGGAAAGGAGGCAGGGTTGACTTCATTTCGCACATAACCTGTAAGGAGCCGGTTTCAACACTCAGAGGATTCCCCCAGTGAGGGCTGAAGAGAACCCCACAAACCTCGCCCAGCGCTCATTCTCCTGGAGCACTTCCCATGAGCGACATGCCAGTCACATCGACAGGGTTTTCCTCTGTTTCTTTCCATCTGTAGTTCCTCTTTTCTGCTCTGCTCATCTGTACAGATTTTACTCTCAGGTGGGCCGGAATGTTTTCTTCAGACTTTAGACATTTTTACGTTGTTCGTTTGGCAACAAATTCAAATAAGGGTACAAATTTCATACTAATAAATTCTGCGAGACCGACATTTGAAGCAGCTCTTCGGCATATGGTCTACAAGTGCGGGCACAGCGCCCCCGCGCGCCCCTGCCCCGCCGGTGCCCGCGCTGACGCTCTAGGGTTGGGGTCCGTAGCGCGCAGCTTTCGCACCTGCGCAGCTTCCCGCTTGGCTGGAGGCCCCCAGTCGGCAAACCACAGAGAGGGGAGAACCTCCCATTTTCCTAGAGAGAACAAGTGGGCGGTAGAGGCGCGGGGGTGAGGTGATGGGTGGACGGTATACACGATGAACCCGGAAGCGAAACAGGGGAACTTCCGTTCTTTGTTCTGTTCCTGGTGTGTGGGTTTGTGACAGAGTTCAATAGGGCCTGGTTCGTGTCCGGCCACCGTGTATCTCCTGTCCCTGCCTCCAGGGTGAGTCCGACAGTCCCCGGGGCTCGCGGTGAGACGGAGGCTGCGGTCTTTGGGAAAAGGGGTGGTGTCCGTGCTGCTGTGGCTCGCGGGATCCCCAGTGGCCCTTAACAGGGTGCGGAGAGGTGACCCTCCCTGCCCCAAAGCCAATCCCCTACCTACTCCCATTTCCGCGGAGAACTCCCCCCACTTCCAAACACTGCCGGACCTTTCGTGCGGGGGCAGAAAAAGGCGCTCAGGTTCTGTTTTGTGACTTAAACAGCGCCCCGCTCGAGCGTCAAAAAGTTTCAGTGTAGCTGTAGAGACAGCTATACTACTGTTCCTCTCTTAAAAACAGCTGGCGACAACGACCCTTACTTGGTACTTTTAGACGCATTTATTTGATGCTAATGCTTATTAGAGCTCCTGGTAGGAGAGAAAGTTTATTTTTACTTAGCTGGGTCCGAGGATCAGAGAACGTGTAGTTCTGCGAAGGGTACGTAGACGACGGCTGGGAGGGTGGGCAAACTCACATTCCGGGAATAATCCCAGTGGAGCCCAGTAAATAGAGTCTTTTTAGGGAAGTGACACAGCAGACTCTGGCTCCCATTTTCATTTGTATTAGATTACTAATTTGATCTGCTTTAGAAGTGAAATTGAACTCACACCGGTGTTTATGTTCTGAAGGGTGACAGGTTATGGAATACTTAGCAGAATTAAAGTTATTTTCTTCTCTAGAAAAGACATCTGTGGAGAGTGGGCAGCATTTGGTTTCAAGTGTTTGACGGACAGTTCTATAGTCTATCATTGAAGCTCCATAGGGTACTAGGTCTCTGTGAAGTGAAGGTCCAGGGAGATGGATTTTCACCGTATCACCTGAAGACCCCCTAATGGCTAACAGACTCCCTGCTGAAGTATTTGAGAGTACAGTATCTAGCAAATTTACTGACAACATAGGGAACTGACTTTCTTACCCTGGGTGGAGGTTGACCCAGAAAACCTTCAGCCCTCTCCAGGAGTACAACCCAAGTACCAGTCATGATGGTCATAATCAGTATTTATTAACATATGTTCTCTTTCTTTTTTCTCTCTATCTAGATTAGAAATTAAGTTTATGTGAATATTTGAAATTCCTTTTTTCCACCAATCATACAGCGTTGGCATCAACTAATGTCAAAGTTAACCAGGATCTTGAACAAAGGCTGCCAAATTCCCAGTAATTGCTACTTTGACCTTCTAGGGACTGACTCCAAAGAAGATAAGAAAGAATCCAGCAGGTAAAACTTTCCATAGCTCCTTCTTCCTGCTGGATCATCTTTTTCAGTACCCAGGATTAGCTCTAGGGAGTGGAGTTAGCGGCAGAGCAGGGGAAGGGCTCTGCTTGGACCTGAAACTGTGGGGCACAATGGAGAGTTTTCTTCTTGTGAGAAACGTTGTTTACTGATCCAAACACTGGGGATTTGTTCTCAACAATATGCCTTTGAATTCCAGCTTTGCTTAACTCAACTGTGAGAAGGGACTGTTGCTTTTTTCTCTGGAGTCAGAGCCTTTGACTTGCCTTTCCAAAGAGAGTTGGTACTGAGCTGATTTGTTGGGGGATATCTGCTTATAAACAGTCCTAGAAAATGTAAAGGTGGTTGATAATTGAAAATGATGGCTGGCTCTGCAGAGTTGAAGGGACCCTGCTGGGAGGGTGATAATGGCAAGAGTGTGTGTCACCTTGATTGCCAATGGGCCTGGCTTATACCTGATTTGGTGCTTTCCATTGTCTAATGGAATTGGTCTTAAATATTCTGTACTTTCTTGCTGCACAAAGACCACAGTTCTTCCAACTTAGAAGTGACTCCCAGACAAGGCCTTTCCCTACTTTATGTCTTTTGTGAGGGTAACAGTCTGGAATAATAAAGCAAATACTTTTTGAATTCCTGATTTTTTTAACTCCTTGCAATATTGCCTTGCAATATAGTTGGTACTCAGCAAATGTTTGTTGTATGAGCAAATAAGTAAATAGACAAAGATAGAGAGATAGTTATCTAGGGTTTTCTTCTTAGGTTCTCACTTAAGTATAAAGACACTCTGGTAGCTGCTGGACCTATTCTGGGTGTGTTGATCTTGCCACAGCATTCAGGTGTTAAGTGAACACTTGTACTTATGACCCAAGCCTTGGTCTAATAATACTAATATTACATTTTATCCACTAAGCCTCAGAGAACAGACCTCTTTTAATTATGGTAGCAGCTGGTGTGTAGAGATTCATGTATATAGCAGGGATAAAAGTGGAGAAGTAAAGAATGTTATGTTTTGTCCAATAAATAAAGAGGAAGCCAACAAAAAAGAAGAAGAAAAGAATGTTATGTTTTAAAAAATATTGGTTTCCTTTCAGGGACTTATATTCTGATCAAGGAAATGTCTTATAAAAAAATGAGATAAAAAGAAAGCAATTGCTGTCGTCTTTTTTTTTGAGACAGAGTTTCACTTTGTAACCCTTGGTAGAGTGCTGTGGCACTATAGCTCACAGCAACTTCAAACTCCTGGGCTTAAACAGTTCTCTTGCCTCAGCCTCCGAAGTAGCTGGGATGAGCTGGCCACAACACCCAGCTATTTTTAGAGACAAAATCTCCCTCTGGCTCAGGCAATCCACCTGCCTCAGCCTCCCAAATGCTGGGATTATAGGTGTGAGCCATCATGCCTGGCAGTTGCCTTCTCAATGAGAAGAAGCACATCAGCTGAGACTAGTCCAGGGTGGGGAACCTGTGGCTATTTTTTTTTTTTGTAGAGATAGAGTCTCATTTTATCAACCTGGGTAGAGTGCTGTGGCGTCACACAGCTCATAGCAACCTCCAACTCCTGGGCTTAGGGGATTCTCTTGCCTCAGTTTCCTGAGTAGCTGGGACTACAGGCGTCCACCACAACAACGCCCGGCTATTTTTTTGTTGTAGTTTGGCCAGGGCTGGGTTTGAACCCACCACCCTCGGTATATGGGGCTGGCACCCTACGCACTGATCCACAGGCGCTGCCTGAACCTGTGGCTTTTTGACTGAATCTAAATTTTACAGAACAAATTTCACCCGCACCCAACCCCAGACTAGTCTTTTTTCCTGGTCAATATATATACCCACTTTGGGGTGTTATAAATGTCACTCAAAAGTGTGTAGGGAGATCTATTGTTGAGAAAATTGGGCCCTTTTGTGGTCCTTATAGTATCCTTACAGGGTGTGGGGGTGTATATATTTACTAAGATCTAAAGGACTAATTCTAGTTGCTGCATTTTCTCTTGCTGTTCTTGGGTACTAACTGAAATAATTTGGCTCTTTTTGTATTCAGGAGGTTTTTTTGAATTCTCTTCTGAATCTTGAACTTTTGCTTCTGCAGTGGTTCCTTATTCTCATTCAAGACCTGCTTCCTGCTGAGTCTGCAGATAGGAGACTGGAGACCGGAGCATCTACCCTATCCATGGAAACTCAGGCTGATCATGTATCTCAGGAACCTCAGGCCCTGCTTGAGAGTGGTGAGGAACAGGGATTCATTCATTCTGTTATTCAGTCATTCAGCAATCATCTGTTGAAGTCTCTCATTTACCAGGTACTAGGCTAACTACTAAATCCAGATGTGAATAAGACACACTCCTTGCTCTTCAGTAACTTGCAGCCTAGTGGGGAAGGCAAAGTGAAACCAGCAGTTAGTGGGCTGAGGCATTTTTGAAGGGTTGTGAGTATATCATGTGAAATTAAGAAAATTGTAAGAAAACTCTCTCTCTCTTTCTCTCTTTAAATAAGGCTCGGCACCTGTGGGTCAAGCGGCTAAGGCACCAGCCACATACACATGAGCTGGTGGGTTCGAATCCAGTCTGGGCTGCCAAACAACAATGACAGCTACAACCCAAAAATAGCCTGGCGTTGTGGCAGGCGCCTGTAGTCCCAACTACTTGGGAGGGGGAGGCAGAAGAATCGCTTGAGCCCAGGAGTTGGAGGGTTGCTGTGAGCCGTGATGCCACGGCATTCTACCCAGGCCGACAGCTTGAGGCTCTGTCTCAAAAAAAAAAAAAAAAAAGAAAGAAAGAAAAATAAATAAATGAAAAAAAATTTTAAGAATCACTGAATTACATTTTTCAGGCATTCTGTACAGCTGACTTCATAGGCAGAATTTGTGCTCTTTCTTTTGGTTTTTTGAGACAGAGTCTCACTCTGTCACCCTAGGTGGAGTAACACTGTGGCATCAGTGTAGCTCACAGCAATCTCAACCTCCTGGGCTCAAGCAATCTTCCTGCGTTCAGGGTAGCTGGGACTGTAGGCACCCACCACAATGCCCAGCTAGTTTTTCTATGATAGCTGGCTAGTTTTCCTGTTTTTAGTAGAGACAGAGTCTTGCTTTTGCTCAGATTGGTCTTGAACTCATAGGCTTAAGCAGTCCACTCACCTCAGCCTCCTAGAGTATTAGGATTACAGGGGTGACCTCCCGTACCTGGCAGAATTTGTGCTCTTTAGAAGCATGACCTTAGAGAGAATGGTCTTGTCAGTAACCTTTAACCATGGCAGCCCTTCACTCACAGCCCCCATCCTGACCCAGAACACACAGGGCTCTGGTTATTTCTGGGTGTTTGGGATGACCACAGAAGAGAAGGGTATTGTCCACCTTTTTCTGCCAGTTTCTGCTGCAAAATCGAACAAGTGCAATTAACCCACTGTCACTGTCTAAGTCCAAAGCTCCAGGAACTCACCCAGGTCCTTGCAGAAACCACCTGGGTCTGGGGTCCAGCTCTTGGAGCACCCAGCCTTTGCAGGTTGTCCAGAAACAAGAACTGTCTGATTGAATGTATCTCCTTATCCCCGCAAAACAACGCCCAAACTGCAGCACCACCATCTCCACAGGAATGCAGGTGTCCCCAGTGTCCTGGCTAGGCAGCTAACCCTGGTGGCCGCAAGGGTTTCTGTCTTGGCTGCCCTCCTGAGCCAGATGTGAACTTCATAATAAATTGTGGCATTATGGATTCCACAAAAAAAACAAAACACATTACTCTTAGTGAAGCATCACAGGAATAGAGAAGCATGAATCCTATATATTTAACTTTGATATGAGGATAATTAATGACATGGTGGGGGAAGGAAGAGCAGACAGAGAAGGAGGGAGGAGGTGGGGGAAAGGAAAAGAAAATAGTGACTAATTCTCACATAGGTTGGATTTAATTTTGACCAAAGTACATTATTTGTTTTTATTTATTTATTTATTTATGTTTTGTAGGGACAAAGTTTCACATTATTGCCCACAGTAGAGTGCCATGGCATCACACAGCTCACAGCAACCTCCAACTCCTGGGCTTAGGCGAATCCCTTGCCTCAGTCTCCTGAATAGCTGAGACTACAGGTGCCCACCACAACACCTGACTATTTTTTGGTTGCAGTTTGGCCGGGCCTATGTTTGAACTGACCACCTTTGGTATATGGGGCCGGTGCCCCAAAGTACATTACTTAAACATTAATTTTTTTCTATTTATTTATGTTTCTTGTAGAGACAGAGTCTCACTTTATCGCCCTCAGTAGAGTGCTGTGGTGTCACACAGCTCACAGCAACCTCCAACTCCTGGGCTTAAGCAAATCCCTTGCTGCAGCCTCCTGAGTAGCTGTGACTACAGGTGCCTCCCACAACGCCTGGCTATTTTTTTTTGTTGCAGTTTGGCTGGGGACAGTTTTGAACCTGCCACCCCTGGTATATGGGACCAGTGCCCTACCCGCTGAGCCCGCTGATAATTTTTAATTCAACTTATTAATATGTTGTTTAGGATATTGCGTCTATGTTTGTAATTTCCCTTTATAATAATATATTTTTTCCAATTTTAATATCAGGTACATCCAGATGAAGTAGAATGAATTTGAAGTATTCTTTTTCTGTTGTCTATAAGATTTGGCATAATCTGTTTTTTGAAATTGTCTTCTATTTTTATTTATAAATATTAGTTGTCCATTAAAAAATGCAATTGAATAAAGACAAAAGAAGGCCTAGGGAAGATTTAAAAAAGAGCTCTTGGGAATCATTTTTAGATCACAAGCAAAAGGTTAAAATGGGTAGAAGGCCACTCAAATACATACTGTTTTCATAGACCGTGCCACTGACTTTGGCACAGTCTTAATGAGTATTTCCCCCATGCTTATCAGGAAAATGCATTTAAGGACCGTTTATCTGGTGATTAACACTTAAGAATTACAGAAAAAGATAAGTGATCAAGCACAGAAACAGGAAACATCTGTGATGTATAGATTGGATCCAAGGGTGGAGAATAAGGAGAAGAGCTGTGGGCATGGTGTTCCCGGTCAGGGCTGTGGTGAAGCTGCTGGGTTTCCTCTGGTCTTAACAATTTCTTGAGAATTTTGAGTTCATAGATGTGGAATAATGATGGAAGCGACATGAGCAAGGTCGCTTGTTTATGGCCAAATTTGGGTGAATGAAGGAGAATAAAGCAGTCACTAAAGATAGGACTGGGTATTTTCTCTGAGAGAAGAGCAACCCAGGGCATATTTGAAAATAAGAATTACCATGCTCTAGGCAATCTCTGCTCAGGCAGAATGTGCCTCTGTTGTATGTACCTTTACTGGTACTGATTGTCCCAGAACCCTGTGAGGTTTCTGTGGGTCAGGAGGAAAGAGAGGAGATGGACTCACTCCTGGGCCCTTTTATTGCCCTTTAGCTCTTCCTTCGTCAAAAGTTCCTGCCTTTTCCAGCAAGGACAGCCTGGGGGATGAGATGTTGGCAGCTGCACTCCTAAAGGCCAAGTCCCAGGTGAGCTCTGGTGTCCTTCATCCTTTTTCTTCCTACTTTTTTTTTGTTTGTTTTTGAGATAGAGTCTTTACTATGTCACCCTCAGTAGAGAGCTGTGGTGTCATAGCAAACTCTGGGCTCTTGGGCTTAAGCGATTATCTTACCTCAGCCTCCTAAGTACCTGGGATTACAGGTGCCCGCCACAACACCCGGCTATTTTTGTTGCAGTTGTCATTGTTTAGCTGGCCCAGGCTGAGTTCGAACCCGCCATCCTCAGTGTATGTGGCTGGCACCATAACCACTGTGCTGCAGGCACTGAGCCTTCTTTCCCACTTCTGAGGACATTTTTTGTGCAGCAACATCACATTTAGGGCCCTAAATCCTGATTCCTTTCATCAAAATCATGGTCATTTCCTGCTGACTAATCTTTACCTTCCATCTTGGACTGTTGTCCTTTTCCTACACTGGCCGACTGACTTTTCCCACTTCCCAAATGTGCATTATTCAGCCCCATCCTGAGTTATTTTTGAGGGTACTACCAGTCCCATCTCTTCCCCTGAAATTGCATGCTAGAACATGTTGTTTTAGGAATTGGTGACATTTGAGGATGTTGCTGTGTACTTCATCCGGAAGGAGTGGAAGCGTTTGGAACCTGCTCAGAGGGACCTCTACAGGGATGTGATGCTGGAGAATTATGGGAATGTGTTCTCACTGGGTAAGGAGTTACACTTTCTCCACAGAACTCCCTGGTCTTTTTTTGCTTCTTTATTTGCTAGTAACAGTCTGGCCATTGAAAACAGTTTTAGCTAAGGATTAGCTTAGTCTTACAAAATTTTAATAACTGTAATAATCATAACTCAAATTTATATAGTAAATTGCAGCTTATAAAGAGTTCTCATATATGTTCTCTTATTTAACTTTCACAGTAACACAGTAATTGAGGTGTAGATAGTATTGTCCTCATTCTATAGGTGAGGAAAATGAGGTGTGAGATCTCAAGTACCTTGTGTGTGGTCATAAAGCTGGTGAGTGGCAAAATTCAAGCTCCAGTCTTCTGACTCCAAATCTGGTACTTTTTCCATGTTATTCTCAGGACTTAATGTAGAATCCAGATACTTTTCTAAAGGACTAGCATGTTGGGAATCCCTGAACATGTGTGCCCAAGTGAATGTTGTGGGACTCGGTCTGTTCCTCCTTTTCTCTGCTGGATTCCCTTTAAGGGCCTGTGCCTGGTTCAGGACCTAGTGTACCTTCTGCTCTGTAGAAATTTAAGCTTGTTTAGGGAGAACTTAGCTTTAGGACACAAACAATTCCTTGTCCATCATTGCACTTCAGTAAGAATTTTTCCTAACGGGTGTCAGGGGGGTCTTACTAACTTCCATTTGAGGCCTCTCTGTACATTTCCTTTCTGTCCCCTATAGATCCTGGGTTTGGGATTGAGCTCTGGGACCACTCAGTACGATCAGGATAAACCTCCTTGTCCAATGTTTCTCCTATGAGCAGGATTCCCATTTCTGAATCCTGACACGATCCCTCAGCTGGAGTGAGAGGAAGAGCCGAGGGTCCTGGGTTTGAAGGGAACTGAGAGCAGAGAGGTCCTGAGAGGTACCTGTTCAGGTGAGGGAGAAACAGCTGTTCCTGTCCCTAACACTTACTGCCCTGTCTCGACTTTTTAAAATACCAATAAACTAAAAATGTTAACTATCTGGGCCTTTACACTTACTACCCTAAAGTTCCCTTTAGAAACTCTAGTTTAGGCTCGGTGCAGGGCTCACGCCTATAATCCTAGCACTCTCAGAGGCCACAGCTAGAGGATCCCATGAATTTAAGGAGTTTGAGATCAGTCTGAGATACCAAAATGAGAAAAAATTAGCCAGGTGGGATGGTGTGTGCCTGTAGTTTTAGCTACTTGGGAGACTGAGGCAGGAGAAGGATCGCTTGAGCCCAGGAATTTGAGCTTGTAGTGAGCTACAACAATGCCATTGCACTCTCCCTGGGACAGCAGAGTGTGATTCTGTCTCCAAAAAAAAAAACCCAAAAAAAAAAAACATTGAAAAAAAAAGTAGAAAGTCCAGTGTAGTGAAAATAAAGAATCAAATATAGAGATTGTGTTAGCCTCACATGCAAGCATAGCCTTCCAGGTGTAGGGCCCAGAGGGACTAAACTCGGTCTTGCTGTTTCCCTGGGTTTGGCATATATAACATGACGACAGACAAGATTATTCTTTTTAGGGCCTATAGGGGTCACTAGTGCCCTCATTCTGACTCTTCTGTTGAACTACTGTTTCTCCTTTTCTGTTCTGCACCTTCTCACTAGCCATCCATTTAGTTTCCTGTATTTGTGGTTACATCTCCCCAGTTACAGCTGCTGTGTCTGACCTCTTTGAAGACTTTGTCACTTCATTAAGCAGTGTCTTCCTCTTCTAATTTTGGTTATTTACCTCTTTGCCTGATCTGTCCTCCCCTCCTTGTATATTCAACTTTCTCTGTCCTTTCAGCTCTTTTCTCTTGGATTTTGGCTTTCTGCCTTGCTCCTTGTCTCCTTAGTCTGGTTATCTTGTTTTACACATACCTTCATACATATGGGCAGGCCTCTTTGCTGGCATTTAAGAGGCATGTGTTCTTAGCACCATAATCATGTGATTATCCTGTCCTGTGATTTTCATTTTTTCTTCCACAAGGCACATGTGACATTTGTGTTTTTTATTGTGCCAGATGGTGAGACCAGAACTGAGAATGATCAAGAAATTTCTGAAGATACAGGATCACGTGGGGTGCTACTGGAAAGATTCCAAAAGGATATTTCTCAGGGTCTTAAGTTTGAAGAGGCCTATGAACAAGAAGTTAGTCTAAAGAGGCATCTGGGGAACTCCTCTGGAGAAAGATTGAACAGAAAAATGGAAGATTTTGCTCAAGTGACAGTTGGGGAAAAACTAACTCCTATGGGAGAGAGAAGTAAGAAATATGATTTTGGGAACAGCTTCAGTTCCAACCTTATTTCACATCAGAGACTTCCTGTTGGAGACAGACCCCATAAGTGTGATGAATGTAGCAAGAGCTTTAATCGAACTTCAGACCTTATTCAGCATCAGAGAATCCACACTGGGGAAAAACCCTATGAATGTAGTGAATGTGGGAAGGCCTTCAGCCAGAGCTCACACCTTATTCAGCATCAGAGAATCCATACTGGGGAGAAACCTTATGAATGTAATGATTGTGGGAAGACCTTCAGTTGTAGTTCTGCTCTCATTTTGCATAGGAGGATCCACACTGGGGAGAAACCTTATGAATGTAATGAATGTGGGAAAACCTTTAGCTGGAGCTCCACCCTTACTCACCATCAGAGGATCCATACTGGCGAGAAACCTTATGCCTGTAACGAATGTGGGAAGGCCTTCAGCAGAAGTTCCACCCTTATTCATCATCAGAGAATCCACACTGGAGAGAAACCCTATGAATGTAATGAGTGTGGGAAGGCTTTCAGCCAGAGCTCACACCTCTATCAGCACCAGAGAATCCACACTGGAGAGAAGCCCTATGAATGTATGGAATGTGGAGGAAAGTTTACCTATAGTTCAGGCCTTATTCAGCATCAAAGAATCCACACAGGGGAGAATCCCTATGAATGTAGTGAGTGTGGGAAAGCTTTCAGGTATAGCTCAGCACTTGTTCGCCATCAGAGAATTCACACTGGAGAGAAGCCATTGAATGTAATGGGTATGAACAAAAGTTCTCTCAGAGTTACTGCTGAGTTAAATATTAGAGAGTCTACATGAAAGAGCCCACATACCTGTTTTCTTCCCTTCCTCTGAGTCTTGAGAGCTCTTGCCTTACTATACAGTATAAACAACTTAGGTTGTGTCCCTTCTAATGCAAACCTTTCACTTTAGAGAATGGGACAAATTTGGCAAATCACTCTGGCACAGTGATCAGCAGCCTAGTGAATTTCACCAGGAAACCTGCCAGCCTTGGAAAATGATGAGGCCAGCTGCTGATCATGTGCTGGGAATAGAAGGAAGCTCTGGGACCAGTCACCTCATTTTGGAAGAGTTTGCACTAATCCATTTTTCTTAGAGTAGAGAAGCCTTTCCAAGGTGGAGATGGAAGCACAATAGGGACAAAATTTCAAGGATTCCTCTAGTTGGAGTCAGTTTAGTCAGCACAGAAAGCAGTGTAAAGAATATTCTGGGTCTTGTTTTTTGGTAGGAAGGAGAAATGGAGGCTACGTTTCAAAGCCACTGTTCTTAATCCAGTTTTAAGTTTTGCTGAGACCATACTGTTTGTTTCATGGTTTCATTAATTATGGACATTTGGTATTAAGGGATTTATTAAGGTTGGGGGGAAAGACCCTCAACATTTTCTGTGATGACTATATCCTTGAGGGCTCTTGAAGTGGCAAGACCATGTTTCCAAGAGCAGTCTGTCCATGCTGTAGGCAGACCCCTACCCTTCCCTATTGGAACAGGGCTGACTAGGAAATCCATCCAAGCAGTGAGTAACCTGAGGATGATGTTCAGGAGCATTCACCATTGGCCTCTGAATCCTGTCCTCTCTTTCCTTTCCCACACATTTGATGAAAAATGAATTTATCTAAACCCCTGCCTAGTTACTAAGGATGCTTTTCAAGGAGCTCACACAGTCTCCTTGTCCTTCCCCTCTGCCACCTTTGACATCTGACTCTAGCAGCCAGACCACTCTTGACTCCACTTCTGTTATTCAGCAGCTAAGGGTTAATGCATACGAAAGCTCCAAAAAGGAATCCTGTGGCCTGAGCCTTGTGACAGGGCTCCTTGCTGGGTTAGGATGGAGCTCCCCAAATTTTCCCCAATTGAAAGGATGGCCTTTCATTGTGTTTTCCCAAACCTGCTCATCCTATAGCATAACTGAAGTGCACTATTAAACAGAATAGTTTTTTCAGAAGGAGGGAGTGAGTGTGGTTTTGTGTAGGGTTCAGTTTCAGTCAGAACACAGTGACTATAAATGGAATCTGAGTTTACAGACAACCATTTGTCTTAGTCACAAAAATGAGGTTTCCCCCTTCTCCCTTTCTTCCTCCATATTCTTCTAGATACCAGTGCAGACTGTCTCAAAATCATTTACATAGTCATTCCCACCTTCAGACCCAAATTTGGGAGTTTACGAGTTGGAGATCATTCTGTGTGGTATAGTACTTATGACCAGCAGCAAAAACTAGAAAGGCCTTATGGGTATGGAACCTCTGACAGAAGAGTACTTAGTTGTTGGGGAGCAATGAGCAAGTTTCAGATTTTTTTGGTTTGGCCGTTGGTAGGAAGTAATTGCAGCCATGAGGTAGGCTAGGATGAAAATGATGAGAAAGTTGAGGAAATGGAACTCTGGTGTCTTTGAAAGTGGATCATATATTGTGATTGACCACCTAATTTCAGAAAACGAATTTTACTGGCTCGGTGCCTGTGGCTCAGGTGGCTAAGGCGCCAGCCACATACACCTAAGGTGGCAGGTTGGAATCCAGCCCGGGCCTGCCAAACAACGATGGCTGCAACCAAAAAAAATAGCCAGGCGTTGTGGCGGGCGCCTGTAGTCCCAGCTACTTGGGAGGCAGAGGCAGGAGACTTGCTTGAGCCCAGGAGTTGGAGGCCGCTGTGAGCTGTGATGCTACGGCACCCTACCCAGGGGGACAGCTTGAGGCTCTGTCTCAAAAAACAAAAAAATACTAATTTCACAAAACTAAATATTTTGGGTCTTTTACTACGTACTTGGAGATTGACTTTGTTTCTCAAAGTGTGGACCATGAACTAGGCTGCTTGTTAGTGCAGGTTTCTGAGCCCCAAATCAGACCTATATAAAAATTTATGGGGATAGTTTAAAAGTGTACACTGAAAGGGAAGAAATAGTAATGGAATAGAGAAAAGTTCTAGAAGGAGATAAACTTGAGAAGATAGGCCATATGTAGTAGGTGAGGAGGCTCCTATAGGGCAGTTTGAGGTAAGCCTAACCATAGCCATTTGTGTGGAAGTTGACAGCTCTGGAGGAGACACTTGAACAGGAAAAGCTGATAGGTGACATACAGACACTAAAAGTGAAGGATCAGCCTCTCTGCTCAGATGCAGAAGCACTTGAGACAGACCGAACATCTGAATGGGGCCTGAGAGTGATCAGGGTCCTTGCATAAAATGTGTTTTGGGTGGTGCCTATGGCCCAGTGAGTAGGGCGCCAACCCCATATACTGAGGGTGGCGGGTTCAAACCCGGCCCCCACTGAACTGCAACAAAAAATAGCTACGCGGGAGGGTGAGGCAAAAGAATCACCTAAGCCCAGGAGTTGGAGGTTGCTATTAGCTGTGTGATGTCACAGCACTCTACCGAGGGTGATAAAGTGAGACTCTGTTGATACCAAAAAAAAAGTGTGTTTTACAATAATTTTGCTTTCTAGCTCGGTCCTGTAGCTCAGTGGTTAGGGCGTCAGCCACAGACCTAGCCAGGGCCTGCTAAACAATGACAACTGCAACAACAGAAATAGCCAGGCGTTGTGGTGGGTTCTTGTAGTCCCAGTGGCTTGGGAAGCTGAGGCAAGAGAATCGCTTAAGTCCAAGAGTTTGAGGTTGCTGTGAGCTGTGACGCTATAGCACTCTACCAAAGGTGACATAGTGAGACTCGAAAAAAGTTAATTTTGCTTCTATAACATTTTACTTACATGATTCCCCTACAGATCCTTCCTACTTCCCATGAAATTTCTCAGTCCCTAACGGGCCACTCAACACTGCCATGCTATCAGTTTATCTCTACACCACTATCCCTGGAACCCCCTCACTCCCAAGGTTGTAAGTGTCACTATTGTACATGTATGGTACTCATCTCTGTTCTGGGCTCCAGTCCTGGGTCTCTGGCAGACAGCAGAGTGTTTATACTTGGGCTTCTTACAGTTTGCAATTATGCTTCAAACCAGATACATCTTTCCCATTTATTGCACCCCTCTCAAAATTTCTATAAACCTCTCGGGGTCAAAATTTAGTTTTCCTTTATGTTCTTTCCAATGGCTAACCAGTGTTATGTCCTGGGCAGGTTCAGTAATCATGTAGGGAAGGATGAGTTAGCTGTTAGAGGGGAAGTTTTTGAAGTTGAGGTTGTGAAGGAGGTGGGGTTTCCGAGTGATGTAGCAGTAGCTGACATATAGCACACAGTCTGTGCCATCCTTACCTGGCCCTTTTTCAAGTGGTTTTTCATACATTGTTTATTCCTTATGACCTGTCTATGTGGTAGTTGTCAGTATCCCTGTGTCACAGATGCAGAAAGCAGAACTGAACACACCCAGTGCAACATGATGAGATGAGAGAATGGGAAACCTTGCTGAGGTTGCTCTACTTGGCAGGAGGCTGGACCACAAGACTTCAAGGCCTGGTTATGTGGTGGGGAGAAGAGGAAACCATCCAGGCAGTTGTCCTGCCAGTGATGACTCTTCAGTCTCCCTCACTATTCATTTGCTGCTAATCCTAGAATTCAGGTCCTTACTACTACTCCCGTGGATTTTATATAATCTCCTAATGGGTTAATATCTCTGTTTTCTCTTAATCTCCCCAAAGGTCTACACCAATCTTGTCACTCACCAAAAATTTCAGGAGCTTCTTAGAGAATAAAATTCTAACACCTTAGCTTTATAGTCTATAGGCCCTCCTTAATCTGTTCTCCACATATTGATACAGTTACCTCTTCTGCTTCTCCTTTGCACATATCAAATAGTAAAATGATAGCAAGGCCCCATATCCATCCAAATTGCATGTCCATGAGTATCTAACGTGTTCCCATGTCCTCCAGCTCACATCTAATCAATAAAAGACTGAAAAAGGAGAGTCTTAAGGGGGGTACAGTGGTTCATGTCTATAATTCTAGCACTCCGGGAGGCCAAAGTGGGTGGATTGCCTGAGGTCACAGGTTTGAGATCACCTGAGAAGATCAAGACCCAATCTGTAAAAATAGCTGAGCATTGTAGCAGGTGCCTGTAGTCCAGCTGCTTATGAGGCTGAGGCAAGACAATTGTTTGAGCCCAAGAGTTTGCGGGTGCTGTGAGCTATGATTCTTGGGAAGGGCAACAAAGTGAGACTCAGTCTCAAAAAAAAAATGCCTAGAGCCTTGGAATCATTTTGCTTACCTTCTACTTGGTGCAGAAACGCAACACTCTCTGGCAGATGCTTATCCATCCTCTCTTAGAGTATCTTCAGAAATTCATTGTTGAATGGGGCAAAAACAGGCAATTCCATTCTTAAGCATTCTAATTGTCAGGAATGGAAATTACATTGAATTCTATCTCCTTGTAAGTTCCATCTTTAGCTTCTAGTTTTGCCTTCTCAAGCAACACAGTGTAATATCTGTAAAATGAGGGATAGATGAGGTTTTCAAGGATGTTTTCAGTCAGAGCAAAAGGAATTTCATTCCTAACACCTCCCACAAACCCAAATCATGCCCATTTTTTGAGATACGATTCAAATAATTTTTTTTTTTTTTGAGACAGAGCCTCAAGCTGTCCCCCTAGGTAGAGTGCCGTGGCATCACAGCTCACAGCAACCTCCAACTCCTGGGCTCAAGCGAGTCTCCTGCCTCAGCCTCCCAAGTAGCTGGGACCACAGGCGCCCGCCACAATGCCCGGCTATCTTTTGGTTGCAGCCGTGGTTGTTTGACGGGCCCAGGCTGGATTCGAACCCGCCAGCTCAAGTGTACGTGGCTGGCGCCTTAGCCACTTGAGCCACAGGCGCCAAGCCAATTCAAATGATTTTAAGAAAGAATATTAGCTGATTAAGTTTCCAACTAGAGGAAAAGCCCAGTTTTAGTATGAACCATGGAGTGATCAAAAAGGCATTTTGTTATTTTCCACAAGCATGTTCTTCCTTGTGTATTCACTGCTTTAGTTGCTGACATCACCAGCTTCCCAGTGAGCCATGCTAGTAACATGAAAATTGTTTTGGAAGCACAATTCTTTGTCTCCTCACCTCTATAGCTTGTCAATTAGTACCTAACCCACCCTTTCTTCCCCATTGCTGTAACTCCTACCTTGGCCTAGGCCATCCTCAGCCCACTCCAGAACTTTGGCTGCAGTCTTACAGTAGGTCTCTGCTTCCTTCATTCCCTGTGAATTCATTCTTCATACCTAAGCACTGGTTACCTCTTTAAAATGTGAACTGGGTGACCACACCTCAGACCCTCTCAGTGGCCCTCTCTCACACCCTATGTCAAAGGCCAAATTCTTTGTCATGACACAAAAAGCTTTTCATTCCCCCTCCCTTTTCTTCAGGAAGAAAGATGGGGTTGGAGGGATCAAGCACATAATAAATAGTATATAGTGAGACTGAAACACATTTGATGCCCAAAGCTCTGGCCACCAGATGGAATCCCAACCCCTGCCAAACATTCTTCTCTCATTTGAAGCTCTTCACCAGCAGTTAGTGAATACTGTAGGATGATAGATGAGTAAACCATAGTTCCTGCACTGATGGAGTCTCCAGTCATTTTTTTTTTT